CTTGTCAACTAAACCTATAAGGTCATAAGAATACTTTATTCAAAAATTGTCACTATATAGAAATTTGCCTCAGGTGCCTACATATTCTATTCGGTTCAGCATCAGCTAGAGCCGGAATAATTTTTTTACTTAACTTTGTCCTATGCATAACAGCAAGTGCTCCTACCTTATCTGCCCTCAAGGCCATTTGCTTATTTCTTCTAAGTTCCTTATGATGCTATTGACCCTCGTATTATTATTTTGTACTCCTACATGACTAGCAAGCAATTAGTGGAACAGCCTTAAACTCTACATTAATTATATCCTCCTCTGGTAGCCGATCGGTAAAAATGGAGTTCTACCAATCTTTCATAAGTTCTATTTCATACTATTTGGCAAGGCATAGTTTAGGCACGTCGATAAAACGGGTTTATAACTTTCTGACCCACTTTATTCTGTCCTTCTTCTCTAGACGACTTCAGCATCTCTTTTCTTCATTTAATCAAATTTATTCAAATTCTTATGTTTTTTATAATGACTATTTTTTACCTGTTTAAACACTATATTAGACAAATTATCTGCAATTTAATGTAATTTCTGGAGTTCTTCCGAATTAACAATATCAGACAACGTTTGTCTGAGTCCAGTTTTGCTTGTAATCAAATAAAGTAACTTTGCTATGTGTTCCTGAAGTCCCTGTGCAAACATGTGGTTTAGGCAGGCCATTAATACCGCGAAATTAGGATTTCAGCCGGGGAACTTTCTTGGTTTAGAGTTTTGATGAATTTGTATTTAAGTATAGCTCCTACCTCTGTCGAATACTTTCACATAATTAGCGAAACCTCAGAAGATTCATCAAAGCTGAAAGACTCTGAGAAGGATTCATCTTCGTAAAATATAACAGTCAAATCTTCAAAAATCGCAAATTTCATTTCCTGGCGAAGCTAATTTACCCACTTTTTCACATTAAATGTTAAGCAAGTCTCTACAAATATGGTAAGGGTGTATTCGAGGTCAAACTTTTATGCATATATAATGAGTGCAGATTTCTATAGCGATTAAAATTTGGGTGTTTCATCAGAATGCTGTGCCCTTTACAAACAAAACTCCTTTAATCGATGGTATGAAAACCAAAATGCTGTGGCTTTGTATGGGCGCGGTCTTCATCCGTTGCTTAGTAGTTGTTTGACCCTGTTTTCGCAATTTGGTCATATTGACAGGAAGACCTAGAGGAACGTATGTGGTCAGGAGTCCATAGTATGCATAATAATTTCTACAGTCGGACTATGGACTTGATACATTCCCAGATGTTTTGTCGGCATCGCAGTCGACATCATCAGTGAGCCTTGCCATTCTTAGCACCACAATACAACTCGTCAAAGAGATAAGTGGAGTCGATCCAGTTATGGTATCACTCCTGTCGTTGTGAAAATACGAAAAAACGCAAGATCCGAGAGGTCATCGATATACTGACCGAAAGAAATATAATGAGCAGTCGACTTGAAGAAGACAGGCTAAGCGAAAACGTTGCATATTGCCTAAGTAAACACAGAGAATATTAGGCAACAGTAAAATAATTAAAATCTAGACGACTGGATCAAGGTAGCATCTTTAGTTTTAGGAAAAGAATTCGCAAAGAGACCATAAACAAAAAACCAAAACAATCGAATACTAAAAGGGGAAGTCTGCAGTTATCCCAATCAAAACAAGTAGAACCACAGCATTTTTCTGTTGGCACAAAAAAGACAGGGGCATCATGGATAGAAACACGATAGATTTGGCGGAGACTAGAGCTGGTTGACTAATAGTATAAGTGTTTGATCATAGACGTGGTCCATGAAACAAAGGCTAGACTATGATAATTACTCGGGCTCTTTTGTCTCAAGTTAGTCCTACATCAAGCTTGAGAATCCTGATTTTTAGGGGCCTATTCAGCGAGGCGGGAGTATGCGCGCCATCAAAGCTTTGAGACAGTGTGGGAAATAACGTTTCTAGTGGTACAGATAGAATGTCAGGGGTCTAGTGAAATACCTGAACCAGGAAGTTTAGGAGACGGGTCTTACGGAGCAAGAGGGAAACTCTGATAAGACCTATGGAAAGAGGATTGCAGGCCGAGGGTGCGAGAAAGCCAGCATAGGGTTAGGAGAGTTCTCATGAGATCCGCGAATAAAGGGCACACCATACCAGATTGAAATAAACGACTAAGAAATTGTGATGTTGAAGGAGTGATACGAAGAGATAGGACAGGTGAATAGTCCAGAACAGACGGAGAGATACCACAACTATTATAAAACTCTTTTAAGATTTTTTAAGCATAAAATCTGGCGAAAGTTCGCAGTATTTAAAAGTCTAGAATAGAATTTGTGTTTTATTCTGGATTCTTTGCTAAAATTTTCCCATATATATTTCCTTAAATTTTTCTCTTACTATGAGTCTTTACTCGCTTCTGGGTAATTTCTATGGGGAGAATGGATTAAATGAGTTTGCCGGGAGCAGAACTCCACGTTGATGAGTCAGTTTAAATCAGCTCCAGGCTTATTGGATAAGTAAATCATATGCAGGTATAGGCGACAAAATTAGATTTAGACAGATTATGCTGGCTCCATATTCCCAAATGGATTGCTTTCAACCCTCATATAATAACAACGGCCGCCTGTCTCCAGGATAAAGCAGAAAATTTCATCCATGTAAACCTCAACACTTGCACCTGGGGAGATAATTATGCGCATGTGCTTAGAAAATTGGTCTTATTTAATCTCTTGATTCCGACCCATTGTCGTGATCTTGGAGGCGTATAGGAAAGAATAAAATATAAAATAAAAGGGGTATTAAAGCCAGAGAATATGCGGATTTTTGCTCTACCGGGGCAAAAATATGACAAAAAAGTTGGAAATATTTCGGTTTATTGACAATATTGTAAACGAAGTTGGGACATCGGTGAGTTGAATCTGAAATCTTCATTAAGACTGACGATGAGCTAGTTTACATTTGGCATTATGAATATGGCCAACTCGGGTTCAATCAACTCGCGGTTAAGTAAAAAGAAAATTTGACTGGACCAATGTGTTTCATTCTAGGTTTAGTCCTCACTAGTGCACTAGCTTAAATAGAAACTGATTTTTTGACGGCAACTAGACCCCCTGATGCATTCCGATTAATCACATCACCCAGTAAATCAGAGAACTCTGTCGTATTCGAAATGACTTTTTGCGAATGCCAGATCCCCCTAAAAGAAACATCAAGTTTTAATTAAGACTAAATCTGTTATTAAACTCAACGCATTACTGAAGTGATTTTAGTAGTGAGTTTGTTGAAATGGCTCTCGAGGCAAGCTAGGCCTTTCAATTTGACGTGTACTGCTTGGCGTTCGCATCTATTTGGAGATGATGAGACCCAGGAAAGGCAAAAAATGCAGCTTAGTCCGGTCAAGAAAGCCTTTTGAGGAACAAATTTAACTGCAATCGAATATGATCTTGATGTCTTCTATTTATTTTATTATGGGAAATTAGACATTGGAGAGATAAGCTAACTTGAGATCTTATTCGAAAGATACTAATGATTTTGGAACCTTCGAATCTGGTAAACAATATAGGTAAGAATATTGTTTATGCTCCATGCAAATGCCCTCACAACTTTTAATGGCCTTGACGAGACTTATTCTATCATGATGATTCTCGATCCTCTATCTAGGCACGTTTGGAATTGAATGGACTTGGGGAAAATTATGATTACACTCTGGAAAATGCTCATTTACATTATTATTTGGTTATTATGCACAAACCGCAGGGTTTTCCATGATGATTGTTATCCTACTTTTCCTAATATTTCGTAAACTTTTAACAACGGCTGCTTAAAAATGATAATTTTGCGGGTATCGGCTTTTGTGGACGACCTATTCTAGGAAGCTGATTCAGCATCGAAAGAGCATCTTAATCAGTTCATTCATGCTCTAACCAATTTTTATCGTTAGATTTTGTAGTTTATTCATACTCTTCAAAGTATATATAAACTATGTATGTAAATGTATGCATTGAATATGTATTTACTATAGTATATATATATATATATGGTATACACACTTTTACTTACGCTTAATAAATTACTAAAAAATCGAAATTATACTTTTACATTTGGGTGACAAGGATAAGAATAAAAGATCAGATTTTCTTTGTTTCCGATGAAGAAACAGAAACCATAACGTTTCATGTCTAATTTCCCAACTTTATACTAACGCGTAAGCTGTTGGAAACGACATGCTGGGAAGCTGCTGGATGTTCAGCTCACTCGAAAGCGAGATTGCATGGTTTGCACGCATACATTATTCCCGTGCTAGAAAGTCCAAATTTCGACAATAACAGTATAGACCGAACCACAGGACTATGCTATCCCAATTCTTCTTTTAAAGGCTGACCTAAGTGAGCGAAACTCTTCCTCTGCCGTAAGTTCATCTAAGCTATCTCAGTTACTAGACAATGCCCTTTAAGTGGTTCCTTTTAGTCTTCCTAATAAAAATTAATTAATATGGATAAGGTAATTGACAGCCTACCAAAACACATCCATAACTTTATCTACCAAGCTATGCGTGTAAGGACATATCGTACTCAGTTAAAATTGTCGTCATCCCTCCAGAACATGTGGCAATTGGGGAAATTTAATTATGAATTAGAGTCATGGCTATCATACTGCCGATAATATTAATGATGCTGATTTGAGAACTATTATTATCTGAGCTGGTAAAAAGGGTTCTGCCGAAGCATTGTAGCCGTTGATACGATAAAGAAGAGAAAGAGGAAGAAAGTTTGGTGGTCCATTTAAATCATTCGGTCTTATTTTCGTTATAGTTTAATCAGGCCGCTATTCTCGTCTTTCCAGGAGTTTGTCAAATTACTTTTTTCGTTGATTCTTAAACACTTATCATCTTTAGCCTATGCACAGCTATGCTTATTCCATTCTCAGTTAGTCACTTCATTGACAGAACTTAATATGAATAATTGTATCGTTTATGCGCCAGTCGTGGACATCTACCGGGACGAGTGGCTAAGCCGGTAGATTTGGCAACAAAGTAACCAAACGCGAGGGCAAATGCGCCAATAAACCTGGCCTGAATTGGAATGGGAGGCAAAAATCCCATCTTTCTCCATCCAGGCTCGGCCTATCAACACACGGGCGCAAGCTGTGATTCGCAACCATCTGACGATCCAGCCATGCATAGCAGGCCGAAGAGGCAGTGAGCAAGCCCAGCAGCTAGTGTATGTTCGAGGCTGATGAGGTGTAGGATAGTTGGGCGGCGACATATGAGGGGGGAGAACGACCAGGCTTCAGGTTTCCCAGGTACCCTCTATGCCACGCCACACCTCCATGAAACTAATACAAGCGCTCGGTCCGGCCGTTGGCCTTTGACCGACCTCTCGGGCCTCATGGGACACGCGAGAGTATGGCCCGAAATATTTGTCGCCCCACACCCAAATGGGTACATTCTGTTGGGTTTTCTCGTCTATATATGAAATGTATTCACACTATCTCGTTAAGAGTGGTAGTTGAATTTTCCCACAATCATATCAGTCGACCTTACGTTTCCATTGCATTTCGCATAGCCTTGCTTCCCATCCAGGCAGGAGAAGACTGCAGCTCCGACCTCGCCTG